AAGTATGGAAGTCTGAATGGTAATCCTGCCTGGTGGAAACCTCATCAAAATTAGCTTTATAGTAAAAATATTGTAGATGTATAAATTAATGATTGTGAAAATATGTAGTCTGATAAATTACATAAGATTTAACAAGTAGGCCTACTCAAGTTTGCTGTTATGGGGAAGGTAAAAATTGTTTTAACCAAATGTTGGTACTGTAGTATAAGGTGAAATAAATAAATTGCCAAATTTAATCAACATATGTCCAAAAACAAGTAAACTACAACAGTTTACTTAATTTCCTTAAGAATAACATGGGAATTTTCAATTTACAATTCTTAAATTTTTTCCATAACCAAAAACCGTACAAAACAGGGGTGTAGTGGTTCCAGAACGCACCGGAACGCCGTTCCGGCAATGGTTTTGGACGGGAGTGGAAATTTTATAAAACTGTTATCACAAATTTAATTGTTAATGAAGAAATATTTTTCGCTTCAGACAAATCAATGTTGGGAAAAAAACTAAAAATTATTTAATGTAGCTTATGCAATAAAAATGTAGTTACCGTACAATGAATAATACCGTAAGAATGAATATAACATTAATGTTGCCAAAACCTGGCAAACTACGCTACTTCAACATGGTCGCCATTCTAAAGATCAAAATCATCAAATTCATCAAAATCGGACCAAAATTACTCAAGTTATCACGTTTACGGACGTATATATATATACGTACTTAAAACAAAGTTCCCCTCTGGTTTAAATTAAAGATAGTAAAAAAGTGATTCAACTCAGCTGAATTTTAATTTAATTTTAATTTTCTTTTAGGCTGATACTATTTTTCTTTGATCTGTACTCAATCATATGTTCTCAAAATTCAACTATTTGTAAACTGTTCGTAACTTATTTATTTGTTTTGTTCATTTTTACATCTTTCATATTTCTCTCTGCTTGAAAACGTTTGTATTAAACGAAAATAATTTGCTGTTTCATGTTTCTTTTTTCATAATTCTATCAAGAAATCCCCAAGAACAATATATAACTTATATACGGTATATATATACATACAGTATATATACATACAGTATACAGAGTGTCCCGGAACTCTCTACCAATATTTTAGGAGTTTTTAAGATTGGACGAGTATTAACTGAGATATGGCGATTTTAGTGATATGTGACCTCTGAAGGTTAGTTGGAGCGCATGCTGAAAGCGGTCACGTATCACTAAAATCGCCATATCTCAGTTAATACTCGTCCAATCTTAAAAACTAAGGTGTCAATCGATTTGTATTGAAATTGCATTAAAAAAGTTATTCTTGTAAAATTTTTGTAAAATCAACGGTTTTCGAGTTATTTAAGAAACAAAATTTTAAACGGCCGCCATTTTGTTTTATGAATTGGAAAGATCGTCATAATTTTTTGGTAGCTTTGTCTAGTTGTCATAAATGTTTGTGCAAAGTTTCAATTTCGTATGTTTAACCATACTTTAGAAAAAAATTAATAACTGAAAAAAACAAAATGGCGGCTGTGTGAGTAACTAAGGACTTCCGGACAATTTAAATACGATATTTAGGTATGTTTCTTACCCAGGAGCAATGCCCTAAAATATTGGTAGAGAGTTCCGGGACACCCAGTATTTATATATAGATACATATATAAAATTTTGAACGAATGGTATTTTTGGCCTCTGGGGACATCAAAATGAAAAAGTAAATCGGTCCCGGCCCTAGGTCTTACCTACGGTAATTACTTTTCTATAGGGAAATTCGCTAAAATCAGGTCATTTCACAGTAGTGTAGCGAAAAAGGTTTTATTATTCCTTCCCAGAATTATTAGCAGATACCTTCTTGGGTTGATTTGTGTTGTATTTTTCAATGATTTGTTGTATTTTTCAATGTTTTTCAATTGAAGGTAAGACAGACACAGGACGGTAATTAACTATGTTTGACGCAAAGTTCTAGGGGGGGAATAAACTAGTATTCACCTGAGTCAGGCTAGGCCTACCCCTAGAACCGGCCACACTCAAATTTCTTCCCTGGAGTTCTCAGAAGGAGCCGGAAAAAATCCAGGGGTCGATACAAAGTTGTCACGGCTTTGACTAGTCAATTTATTTAAAATTTAATTGAAGGCTCAGAGCTCTAGAAGCGCTCAGGAAATCCTGCAGACGCCCAGTTGGAGCTATATCATCCCAGCCTTCGTAAAAGTGTTTTTTGGAGAATTTTGCCTAACTTTTAGAATGACTCTGTAGGGCCGACGAGTATCCAATCTTAAGCCAATTTGGTATAAATACTCGTATTAAGCTTTAAAATAATTAACACTCTAGTAAAATAAATAAAAGTGCAACGATCGGATGAACAAAATCTAGAATAAAAATCCCTACAGAGTTGTCAGAGCCTAATTAATATAACTGGACGGATAATTTATCGTGAAATGATTTAAAATAAATTTAGTATTAATTTACGTAGCTGTTTGTTCAACTCAGCCTGCTCCCTAGACTTGATTCTTTCACCCGCCAAAGACGGGTTTTAGAACTTAGACGGCAAGTCTCGGGGTATTAAAACGTTGAATCAATTAAAATAATTTAAGTAATAATTCGTTAAGCGAACGAAACAAATGTAATTTCGTGGACAATTAATTTAATTCGAGCCGAAAGGTATCCACCGCTAGTCAATTATCAATTATCAATCATTAAGATGGGGACGCCACTTAGGTGTGTATTTTAACCCAAATATGAGTGAAGGGTGAGTGTAGAATGGTGTGAGATGATCTGTGTAGCTTTGTTACTGACTAAGATCAGCTGTTTCATTAGCCAGGATCATTTATTTAAAGCCCAATGATCAGGAACAGCTGGGTCCAGTTTCGAACCATCAAAAAGCTACTGACTTTTCTCAGGATCGAACTGGCGACCTTTTGATTAGTAGGCGAGCACTATAACCACTCAGCTACCCAGCCAGTCGCTGACCGGCAGGAACTGGCGGGTCAAGACTCCAATCGGCGAAAACTAATTTATGGAGATTTAGAAAATTAAATCAAACTTAAACGGGTAAAAAATAGGTGGCAGACGAGTATGCGTATGTTAAAAGAATATTTAAATGAAAGTAAGAAAGTCTGAAAAGGTAGCTAACCTGAATCAATGGGTAACGTAGTATCGTATGGCGTGATCATAATTCGTGTTAGACGGGCTTCCCGTGAACGAGTCGACGGTTGAACAGTGAATAAATCTTGTCTGGCTCTAATCCCGATTTCCTCGGCCGCGGCTTAAGCGCTCCGGTGGTGATTTTGGAAACTAACCAACAGCTGATCGGGGATTCGGTCTAGTTATCGTCTGTCATCGTCAATCAACAAACACCAGTTTGAGGTTATGTCGTTGTTGTCGGTGATAAATACTTGTAAAATTGGTCGGTTTAACTTTGTTTGGTGAAACGGAGTGCTATTATGAATAAATATGCAGTTGTGGGTGTGTTTGTGTACTTCAATGTTATTAAAAGTAGGCCTACGTTCTTAAAAAACATTGTTAACACATAGGCCTAGGAGTAGGACGTTGTGGATAAAAATCGGGTAAGTTATGGTGTTTATTGATTAGCAGTACGTTTTTACCCCCCTCAAAATTTGGTACCTCACATATGTCGTATTTATCTCCCTTCTTAAAAATTGTTCTGACAAATTTATGAAATCTTAACTGTCAGGAAAGATTCCTTTAATAAAAGGACGATTTATAAAATAAATAAGGGGTTTTAGGAGAAAATTTTTCACATACTTTATTAGTTTCAAAGGGATTTCATCATGTCCTCTAGAAAATTTATTTTTAAGATTTGAGATAATTTTATTAATTTCATTTTCCGTAACTGGACTACATTTCAACAGTTTTATGATTAAAGTTTAATTTACTCTGTCGGATGGATGAATTAATTACAGTATTTATGTTTATGGGGGTTTTTGTACTAAGTCATCTATTGCATTGCATTATTGAGGGGTCCTCAATACTTGCATGTTCTTTTTAATTTTCCCTATGATTCCTTGCCTTTGTTGATTTACCTGTCTCTTTGTTTATTATTTCCCACGATATCTTACATGTGCAAACTATGTGTATTCAGATTTTATCAGATTTTTTTATTGGTTCATCATATTGGTTTTAGCGAATTTCCTTATAGGGAAATAGCTATTACTGTAGGTGGCCCGGTAAGACCTAGGCCCGGGACTTTTTCATTTTTATGTCCCTAGGGGCCAAAAACACTATTCTTTCAAAATTGTATATATGATTTTCACTATTAAAATTTCATCTAATGACAAAGTTTTCTTGATCTCTTAATGAAGTTTAAATCCTTATTACTTATTTCCATTATAATTAAAACAAGTTCTAACACAACATAGAAATGTTCTTCTAATTTTTGCTAACCATTAAGAGAAAATGTTTGTTTTGTGTTCAGTTGTTGGGAAAAGTCTAGTAAATCATTGGTAACTGAGAAAATTTATTTTACCTAACCCGCCATGTTAAACTTCCCTATCCCAAGCGTGATGTATATAACTTCGTTACTTCTCGAGTGATGTAAAGTAGAAAAAAACTCACTCGGTGATGTAATGAAACCCATTTAAATAACATTGAGTACTTAACTTAAAAAATATACCTCTATGGAGCCAACGACGTTAAACGCTAGAAATCAGCTGTGCGCTTGAATTTTATTGTTATGTTTTGAAGAATTTTCCTAACCTAGCTTTTGTTTGTAAATGAACGTTACTGTTAGAAGATGAGTGAAATGAATAATGAAAAATATTGTTCGTAACCTCCTGTATATTGTCGGGTCAGGTAAAATCTTGTACGTTACACGTTACGCAAGAGTGTGTTTACATCACTTCGGTAAATTATGCAACTCGCTTCCGCTTGTTGCACAACATTCACCTGCGTGATGTAAAAACGCTCTTACTACACTTGTAAGGTAAATAGCTATTATTTTACTCTTAGTGATGTTTTAGAAAAAAAAAATAAATGAATAAAAATACTGTTAATTTCTACTAGCAAACTGCCTTACTGGATCCAGTCTTTCATTCCTCGTGTGTTTTACGTGACAGAAAAAGCTTGGAATTACTACCCTTATACCATAACAGGTGAGTTCTTGTATATTAGATATTCATCAAGTATCTTCTTTATTCAGATCTGATTGAAGAGCTTAAATTAATTGTTTATAAACAATGCTTCAAGTGACTTTAGAGCCAACATTGAAATATAATCAACAAACAGTATGTAATTTTAAACCTAAACATTTAAGCAGGACAAAGTGAAAGAGTCTCAGTATTGAGAAGTGCTCTCCCATTCCAAGGAACTTGTATACTGGACTTGAAGGGTGATGCAAGAGTTGAAGTCGATGTAGACTTGTTGAAAGCATTGATCACAGGGTTTATGACGCACCGGAATATTTTAACACTGGACATTGATGCGGTTTCAGTCCTTCAAAAAATATGTTATAGTGTCACATTTACTTCACTGTTGGCTAAATATCTAAGACTAGGCTATCATACTTAATAATAATATAAAGGTATAAACTACAAAAAAATCTAATGGCCAGACACTATTATTCAAACTTAACAACATCTTGCTGTTATTATTACGGCCATCTTGTGATTGTAACGGCCAAAACAGTCAGTGGGTGACTAAATGAAATAGCTATAGTTGCTATTTGATTGAAAACAACAAGTTTTGTTTGTAATTTCAATCACTTACCTGCTTTTTGGCTTGTTGGCTTTGTCTATTCATTAAAAAATGAAACTTGACATTTAAATTTTATTATGTTTGTCTCATTTAGAGTGTAATTTGTGATTTTTTTTGTTTTATGTGCGGCTGGATTTCTTCAGAATACACGGTTAGTAATATATAAATTGCCTTTGCTTTGCTTTTACAACATAAGTTACTACATGCAAATACCTAAATCAATGGTCATTGGTAATATTAATTTTTAATTATTGTGTTATGATTGAGTCTGTTAAATTAAACAATAAAATTATTGAGCGGAGTGAGCGAAGCTCTTATACTGCACTCTAGGGATGAGCATTGATACTAAACCATCAGTATTCACATTTGATTTTCTAATAACATCTTCGGTAAAATCTATGTTTTCTTCACTAAGTTTTTTTACTGCTTTCCGTCTCAGCTAATTAATCCAGCTACTGGCTATGGATGCTCTAGATATGGCAATTTTTCTTTTACATTTGCGAGATAAAATATTGGTCTTAATTAATTGATTATGCTGGAGCATGAGTGGTGCCGCTGAAACTTATTACAAATGAATTGATTTTTGGCAGCATTCAGAACATAAACCTCACCAATCTTCTATATTAATAGGCATGCATGTTCCTTTAAAACCTTTTTTTCAGCTCGTGTACATCGCAGGGAAACTCTACACACTGTTAGAAAGATATTTTCCTGAAGATGTGCAAAATCCCTTTATAAATTAAAATAGGCTTAAAATTAAGCACAACAAAATAATGAATTTTAAATAAATAAAATAATTAATATGGGCCTTATGGGTTGCTATGTTGTTCACAAAATATCAATGAAAACAGAAAATCAAAACAAATGGAAGGAATTCCAATCACATGTTTTATTTACATTGTGGGGTGAAAATAGATATGCCTGTACATTACATATTTTTGGTTGAGTTTTCGACCATTGGACGACCTCTAGTGTAGATAATTATCTCTGTTGTGTCTAGTCCAGTTCACAATATTTTTTTATTCAATAATTCATCAGATTTTTAACTGAATAAATACAAAAATTCAATTTTGCTATAGTCACCCCCACCCGACAAAGTTGGCTTCCTTGCACTGTTTATAGGTTTATACTTTGGCGCACATCAGGATTCCAACCAAACAACACAAAACAGTGTGGTTTTATTATGCACGTAATCCGTGTACTCTTGGAAATAGGTTGGCAAAACTTAAAGATAATAATACTATGATTATCTGATTGACTATTATAACTACGATTTATCCTGTCATTTCAAGTTTATAGTTTATATTATATTTTCGTTCAACGCTTGGTTTGAACATAACCTGAAGTGTAGCATGTGAAAGATGAATTATAAGTGGGCCTAACATGTTTAAAAATAATGAACTCGGTGAAAGTGATTGTGAATAATGGTTGACCAGAAATAGCAGAAACTGAAAACATGTTTCATTAAACCTGTCACCTGAAAAATCAAGAAAGCAGTATGAACAAGCATACAAACTGTTTTCCTAGCTTTGCGCGTAACTGTCAGAAAATGTTTTATTGGCATATTTTGAAGAACAATCTACTTGTTTATTACGGTATGTGTTTAAACTGATTACCTATTACTGTTTATACCCAAATAAGTAACACTCGACTAAAATCAGCTAGTGCAGTATTTCCCATTCCATTCATGGCTTGGGTTTAACCTAACCTAAAAACGTGTTGTATAGTGTTTGAAAGACTAATTATTTATAACCTAGTGACTGTAGAAAAAATATAATATGTAACATGAGTGCAAAAGGCTTTTGCTCACTAGTTACACAAATAACATTTTTTTCAAGTTTGTCAAGACCAACTTTCAAATTTTCATTACAATTGAGTTCAGGAAATACCCTGATATTTCGATAGTTGGCCAAACACATTGATGTTTGATGAAAACATCATTAACTTAACATTGATGTACTGTACAAACAATAAAAACAACGATGTTTTGAAAACATCAGATTTCAATGCTGATCCTTACTACTCTTCAGCTTTTGATTTACAAATACTCCTCCTGAAAGGCTGAAGTGATCCACACTAAATTTTCACAGACAAAGTTACCAACTATGCGAAACATATAAATCTGAGATGGTAAAAATCTGACTTCAGAGCTCTGTTATACAGAATTTAAACTTTTAGAAATTTAACATGGTCCTTATTAGTTGATTGGTGGCTATTATAGTTCTGCAACATAACAATGAAAGTGTAAACAAAAGAGTTGTTACATGTTTAACAAGCCATTTATACAAGCACATTACAAAAGCAGGAGAAAAGAAAAGAATAATTGTTAATACTACTGATTATACACTACAAAATGAATAACCAACAAGACCTAGGTAGAATGGGGAAATTCATGCCAAATGATTTAACATTAATTGTTGTGTACACCTTTAAAAACAATAGATAGCCTATGGATAGAAAATAGATAGTAAGGCCTACATCTTGAGAGAAGAATGGTTATTTCTCAAAAGTGTCGGATTAATAAGCTTGTTCCACTCAGTATTGCAAGCATCGTTCACCTAGTTTTGGGAAAATTGAATACAAAGAACAAATTTCCAAAATTGCATCTACCTTTGTGCTTTTAGCTTAAATCATATTTTTTGTTGACCCTCACACTTCCAATTGTTGGGTTGTCCAAAATTGTTGCGACTATGACACACACTAGGCCTATGATTATTTTTTCTCTAAATATAATAATTCTTTTAAAGTACTGTAATATATTTTTATTTAGATTGGGCATAAACCGGTCATAAGACCATTTGACTATGATAGCCTAAAATATAACTTTATTACATGTCTGTTTAAATACTCAAATCAATCTTATGGTAATTATTTTAGTTAGTTACCTAATCATGTTTTTAATGTTTGCTTGACACATCAGTGCAATATTTTAATTCAGTGAATTGTTTTTTTTTTTAGTGTTCATTCTTACCAAAGTTTAGTATCAACATCCAGACCAAATTTGAGAACAACAATGGAACAAACGACAATGTAAGTAAAATCTCTTACTGAAATGAATTGAAATGTTGGAGCAAAAATATTTTATTCAATAAAAAACCATTTCAAAATTAAGTGTTTCAACCCTATTGCGTGCAAATTGAAAAAAACGGTATCAGCATCAGCAATCTGATACAAACTTTCTCCCATTAGCTTATCAACAACCATTATGGATAAACACACATATGGATAAAATGTTGTAGTTTGCTTGTTTATGGATATATTTTAACCAAATTTGGAAATGGTTTTTATTTCATACTAATCTATGAACATAGCAGTAAAAAAACACACATCAATATCTTCCCTGTAGCAGCGAACCTAAGATCTCACTAAAATTAATGTTATTTAAATAGGAAATAAATCTGACAATTTTTAGGGTATATGTGAGTAGAAATCCAGCCAGGTAAATGGAAATTCGCTTAGTCTGCAGGTTTGCTGCTGCGGGGTATTTTATATTTTTCTTTTAATATTCTTTTAGATTAGGGCCTACGTCCTTTTATGTGTTTTATAATCTTATTTCTTTTAACACGATATGTCCATATTTAACTAAAATAAAAGGAAAAGAAGACAAATCTATATCCTCCTCCTATATACTAATGTAAAAAGAAGCAAAACATGTGTTGTGTACAATCACAGCCACCTCTAATACAAGGCTGCGATGTTCGAACTGGCAATGCCACACTCACCCGCCGCCTGGGTCCGGCACTCGTGCTAGGCTATATACATCAATGAGACGATTGCTGCTCTGTATCAATGAATGAAAGTATTTAAATTACATATTTTAGTGGATTTTAAGGTATAGTAAAATAGACAAATTAGAATATATGTTGTTTATTTAGTTAAAAATTGCACCACAATATGTCTAAAACTAAAGATACAAACATAATGTTTTTGGTTGCATTTATCATATTGTAAGTGCGATGAATGTGGAAATAGATGGACTTTACATATTTACTTTGTTAATTTGATAACTTATAGGGGCCCTACTATTAAATAACAATCTCATGGTATCTGTATTATATGTCTGTTATTCAACATGGTAAAAACTACTAGACAGACAGGGCTTAAATTTTACAAAATATAGCTACTATACCAAGACTGGTAATACAGTAGTAAGACTAACTTATTGCCACTTCAATATATTTGTAGAGACTTTGGGATTTGTAGGGACTAGCATCCAACAATTTGTTCAAATAAAAAATTTTCAATTTTCAATAGGAATATTGTCTTTTAGTCTACCTGAGGAAATCATAAGTTAGCGACAACAAAATTTGAAATTTTCATTTTGAAGGTATACTTACTAAATAATTTATTTTCTTCAAATAACTAATTACTAAGCAAAACGTTTGCCATTTTTTTTAAACGATTTCAGAATCCAAGCCTCCATATGGCGTTCCAAAACATTTATTGAGCGAAGCTCTTATACGTCGACTTTTATGCATTTCGTAATACGCAAACTCCTCCTAGACGGCTGAATCAATCGTTTTCAAATTTTGGATGGTGATAAAAACCATATCGGTGAGTGCCAACATCTATATGGCGTTAAAAATAACTCTCAGGAATCCGCCCCACTGGGTCTCAAAGTTTCAATGTAATCCTTATGGAAGCAGTATTTGACACATAAACAAAGACATATGATCAGCTGTTGACTTTTGAATGCAGCAGATGAAGAAATAGCTTATAGCATTATTCCACAGATATTAGAACAGAAACGGCATGAATCATAAATATAAACAAATGACGACACTAGCTTGAGGTCCGTGACGTAAGAAGTGCTAAAGGAAGTACTAAAGGTGAGCAGTCTGGAGTGTGGAAACTGTTAATGACGATTAGATTTAGGTATCTGCAATCATAAAATGCTATGGGAAGGAAGGTAAACAGGTCCGTGACGTAGGAAGTGGTGAAGGAAGTAGTAAATGCGAGCAGTCCGGAGTGTGGGAACTGTTTATGACCATTAGATTAAGGCATTGCAATCCTATGATGCTATGGGAAGGGAGGGAAACAGGTCTGCTACGTAGGAAGTGGTAAAGGAAGTAATAAAGGCGAGCAGTCCGGAGTTTGGGAACTGTTTATGAGGATTAGATTAAGGTATCTGCAATCTAAAATGCTATGGGAAGGGAGGTAAACGGGTCCGTGACGTAGGAAGTGGTGAAGGAAGTATTAAATGCGAGCAGTCCGGAGTGTGGGAACTGTTTATTACCATTGGATTAAGGCATTGCAATCCTATGATGCTATGGGAAGGGAGGAAAACAGGTCTGCTACGTAGCAAGTGGTGAAGGAAGTAGTAAAGGCGAGCAGTCCGGAGTGTGGGAACCGTTTATGACGATTAGATTTAGGTATCTGCATTCTAAAAATTATAAGGGAAGGGAGGAAAACGGGTCCGCGACGTAGCAAGTGATTAAGGAAGTAGTAAAGGCGAGCAGTCGGGAGTGTGGGAACTGTTTATGACCATTAGATTAAGGCATTTGCAATCCTATGATGCTATGGGAAGGGAGGGAAACAGGTCCGCTATGTAGGAAGTGGTGAAAGAAGTAGTAAAGGCGAACAGTCCGGAGTGTGGGAACTGTTTATGACGAGTAGATCAAGGTATCTGCAATCCAAAAATGCTATGGAAAGGGAGGTAAACAGGGTTGTGGCGTAAGAAGTAGCGAAGGAAGTAGTAAAGGCGAGCAGTCCGGAGTGTTGGAACTGTTTGTGATGATTAGATTAAGGTATCTGCAATCATAAAATGCTATGGGAAGGGAGGTAAACAGGCCCGTGACGTAGGAAGTGGTGAAGGAAGTAGTAAATACGAGTAGTCTGGAGAGAGGGAACTGTTTATGACCATTAGCTTAAGGTATTTACAATCCTATGGTGCTATGGGTAGGGAGGGAAACAGGTCCGCGACGTCAGAAGTGGTGAAGGAAGCAGTAAAGGCGAGCAGTCCGGAATGTGGGAACTGGTTATGACGATTAGATTAAGGTATCTGCAATCATAAAATGCTATTGGAAGGGAGGAAAACGGGTCCGCGACGTAGGAAATTATGAAGGAAGTAGTCAAGGCGAGCTGTCCGGAGTGTGGGAACTGGTTATGACGATTAGATTGAGGTATCTGCAATCATAAAATGCCATGGGAAGGGAGGAAAACAGGTCCACGATGTAGGAAGTGGTGAAGGAAGTAGTCAAGGCAAGCTTTCCGGAGTGTGGGAACTGTTTATGACCATTGCATCAAGGTATCTGCAATCCTAAAATGCTATGGGATGTAGGTAAACAGGTCCGTGACGTAGGAAGTGGTGAAGGAAGTAGTAAATGCGAGCAGTCCGGAGTGTGGGAACTGTTTATGACGATTAGATTAAGGGATCTGCAATCCTAAAATGCTATGGGAAGGGAGAGAAAAGGTCCGAGACGTATGAAGTGGTGAAGGCAGTCGTCAAGGTGAGCTGTCCGGAGTGTGGGATCTGTTTATGACGATTAGATTAAGGTATCTAGCGTGTTGAGTGTGGGAATGGATTAATGTATCTGCAATGCTAAAAGGCTATGGGAAGAGACTGTAGACTGTAGGTTTAAATAACTACGAAGCACGAATCGATACATATTTCGATACATGCAATCGTTTACAATATAGAAATTTACAACTGAGTTGACAACAGCTGATTTTTACTCCATAGAGGATACAAACTATTTTTCCTTCCTAAAGAGTAAAAATGCTACTTTAGACCCGTAACGCATGCTTTAAAAACAACTGGTATTACTGTAGTATGACCAAAACAATATAATATAAACTCTTGATGACTCCGCTCAATTTTGTGGACGCCTCTGCAAACGCCACCTAGTAGAATTTTTTTCACATCAACATTCAGACTGGAGTCGGAGACTATGATGCTTTTATTGTTAGATGGTGCAGTAGGCTACATATTTTTTACTAGTATGCCTACTTAACAGAAACAAAGGTTTATTTCTTTGAAGTGCTATTCATTTAAGTTATTTTAATCACTTAACAACAGCTTTTGTCAATAAGATAGACAAATAAATAAGGAAATAGTACGGCATTCTCACCTAAAAATCACTTCTCGCGTCTATATTTACACGAATCAATGTCTTATTCTTACATTTTTTTTCAAATCTAAGTTCATATTCGTGAAAATCTTTCACACAAAAACGAGAATTGTTTTAAGATGTCTAATTTTACCCAAGAATAGCAGGAAGCCATTGTTGCTGACGCGGCGGATCGCTTAAAATCTTAGAACACTGTATGTATTATTCATTTTTAATTGAGCTTTCGTAATTATTCTTGCATCCAGGCACATCACATTTATCTGACATGCTGTAGTAACAAGCTCAATGTCATTACTAATGATTAAGGATAGTAGAAACACATTTATGTAAGTCGGTACGCGACTCCTCCATTCAATGTAATGCTAAGATGACCGCGCACCAAGACACGGATGCGACGTTGCCACGTTTCGCTCGCCACGGCCTTGTATTAGAGGTGGCTGTGGTACAATCCCTATTAAACTCAATAATGCCGTCAACTTCCACATAAGCCGGACACCGTTTATTTAAGACGGGCCTCTCCCGCCAGCTAAGCCACACATTATTGAGCTTAGTATGGATTGCAAATGTAAGGAATTCAAAACCTGTGCATGTAGAAAGATCTCAACGCAACACTCGTCAGTGTAATGCCTTCGCCAAATGACCTACCATGCCATCGTCGGCCTAGCGAGACAAGTGCCTCTATAAGCACACTAGTGCTTACAGGTGAGATTCAACGAACTAATGCCCTGAGCTATACTTGGGCTTAGGTTTTAAAGATAATATTTAATATCTGTAATTTAATTTACTTATATATTTTAATTTTATAAATTGTACAACAATCAAAACCCCTACTTATATAAGTGGTTTAGCACTAAGTTTTAGCGAATTTACCATATAGGGAGTAAGCAAATTTCGTACATTTTTAAGGTATTCAGTTGTATTTCTATTGTAATATATATTTTGTAAAAACTGTAAACAATGATTATTTTAAACGAAATAAAAGAAATTTTGATTTGATTTGATTTGAGCTATTACCCTAGTACTCATGGTACTCATGGACCCGGGAGCGATTTACTTTTTTGTTTTGAGGTCCCTAGAGGCCAAAAACACCATCCGTTCAAATTCACATATATATATTTATAGGGTGTCCCGTAATTAAACAGCCAAACTCCGGGAAATGGTTCTATGGGTCAAAATACATTCTTTTCTAAAATCACTTTGTTAACCAGATATCCGCCATTTTGTATTTTTTCATAAACCTTTTTATTTTTGGATTTTTTTTCAACCGATCTTTATAAAACATGGTATGTAGGTTAAGGTAGAAGAGTCCCATGTTAAAAAAAAAAAATCATCTTGATTCAGCTTAAAATTTCAAAATGGCAGCCATTTTAATTTTTTTAACATAAAATACTCAAAAACGGCTAATTTATGAAAAAATTTCTAAAACACTTTTATTTAGCATTTTTTATTCCCTATCAAACGATACCAAGTTCAAAAAGATCGAATAAGAAATGGCGGAAATATTACGATTTTTAGTTGTAAAAAGGGGCAAATCTGACTAACTTCTGCCTCACTCCATTTTACAACTAAAAATCATTATATTTCAGCCATTTCTTATTCGATCTTTTTGAACTTGGTATCGTTTGATAGGGAATAAAAAATCCTTAATAAAAGTGTTTCTGGCATTTTTTCATAAAATTAGCTGTTTTTGAGTAATTTAAGTTTAAAAAATTAATACACCCGCCGCAGCAAACCTGCAGACTAAGCGAATTTCAACTTGTTTGATTACATTATTACTAAAATATTTCCATGAATAAGACATAATTTATTTCCAAATTAAGTAACATTAGATTTAATGAGTGCTTAGGTTTGCTGCTACGGGGAAGGTAAAAAGTTTTTTTTGACCATTCGTCAATAAGATGAAATAAATAAAATAATTTATTTATTTCAATAGGATGAAATAAATAAATTTGCCAAATTTTATCAACATATATCCATAAACAAGTAAATTACAACAGTTTTCATTTTCTCCATAAGAATAACATGGGAATTTTAAAATGCACTATTTTTGAATTTTCTCCGTGATTGTTAGGCATACAACAGCGCTTCAATATACTAAATTATTTCTTTTTTAAAGCTCTACAAAACGGTTTAGAAAGAAATTGAAATTTTTTTAGTTTTTAGGGTTAAAAATGGGAAAACCCATTTTTACCCCATAAGACCCCCCATAAACCCCCGTTCCCATTGTCCGATTATGCTGGTTCGCGAACTCGTTCGAATAAACGTAGGATTACACGTTTGTACCAAATTTCATCAAAATCGGATCATTTTTGCTCGAGTTATCGCGCTAACGGATACATATATATGAATTTGAACGGATGGTGTTTTTGGCCACTATGGATCTCAAAACGAAAAATTATATCTGTCCCGGGTCCAGGTCTTACCATGAGCCGCCATTTTGAAATTTTAAGTTGAATCAAGATGATTTTTCTTCCTGACATGGGGCTCTTCTACCTTAACCTACATAACATTTTTTTTAAAGATTGGTTGAAAAAATCCAAAAATAAAAATGTTTATGTAAAGAATACAAAATGGCGGATATCTGGTCAACGAAGCGATTTTGGAAAAAATGTTATTCTTGATTTTCTCTTTATTTTGACTCATAAAACCATTTCCCGGAGTTTGGCTGTTTACTTACGGGAAACTCTGTATATAGCCTATATGTGTCCGTTAGCAAGATAACTCAAGCAAAAATGATCCAATTTAGATGAAATTTGGTATAAACGTGTAAACCTACATTTATGCAAACAAGTTCGCGAACCAGCATGATCCGACTATGGGAACAGGGGTTTATAGGGGTTTTATGGGGTAAAAATTGGGTTTTCCCATTTTCGACCCAAAAAACATAAAATTTAGCAATTTCTTTCCAAACCATTTTGTAGAGCTTAAAAAAACAAATAATTTAGTATATTGAAGCGTTAAAAATTAATTTATAACTTTTATATTACTGTACCTACATTAAACTTTCCGCTATAAGTAAACTGTTGTGGTTTGCTTGTTTATGAATGTTCATAAACAAGCAAACCACAACAGTTTACTTATAGGTTATAGGATATAGTTTTCAAAATATGTATTTTGATCAAATTTGTAAAATGCACTCGTTTCTTACTAAAATATTAACATTAAAAAAGACACTTTTTTAACCCTCCCTGTTACAGCAAACCTACGTGCTCGTTAAACTAATTATATTTAAATAGGGAATAAATGTGACATTTTAGTGTAGGTAAATCCAATCGGGCAAATGGAAATTCGCTTAGTCTGCAGGTTTGCTGCGACCGGGTTATTATTGATTTTGGTCAGTTTGGACAACAGCTTACAGTGACTTATTAGAACAAATTAAAAAATGTTACTTCTACTGTATAATAGGGTAAAAATTGTGTTGACTAGGAGGTTGGTGTATAGGGAGGGTAGGGCAAGAGAGATGCAAAACTTCTCCACTCTTTTTTAATACCTTACATATATATTAGGTCTAATGCCAACTTTTGATTGTAAAAAATAAGAAATAATCGTAGGCCCTATAATTATTTGAGCAATACCTAAATATTATTTTGAGTTTAAGTGATATCTTTTTTTTCAGTGCTTGAATCTAACTCAAGAGCAGTCCCAACAACGAATGGTGGATTTCATTGATATTTGTTACGATGAAGTAAGCCCAAAACATTACAAAGAAGAAGAGGTAAGTGGCTATTTTTATTTGAAGAAAATCATTAACTTAGATCAATATTTGTTTGAGTTTTTCGCTAATTTCCCATGTAGGGAATAAGTTATACCATAGGTCTCAATGTAAGACCTGGACCCAGGACTGATGTGAAGTAAGTGTTAATGGTAATTTTAAGAACTGTTGGTGTGATAGTCCCTTCCAAAGAGGTCTTCTCGCTGCTTGCTGTTCGTAAGAGACTATGTGAACAGTGGCCCCAGTCGTCTTCTGGAAGTTCACTATGTGCCTTGCAAATGTTTGAGGATGAACAAGATCCCTGACACAGCCAATCTCCGAGCAAAATAGAGTGTTCAATCTTTGGGTTTTGAAGTGCTCTTGGAGCTGTTTGAAAGCTGTACTATAGTCTTCTGGGAAAGGTTTATCAAAGTATCTAGCTTTAGTTATCAAGCTGTACACTTTTGAACCATTAGGTATCTTTTGACAAGCTAAGTGTTTTGATAAATGGCTTTTTCTAAGATTTTTAAGCGTGTTGCTTGAAGACCTAGTTTGGATTCTAGGGACATCACTTCAACTGAGGATAGGAAATTCTCTTGATTTCTTTTATAACTGAATTGAAGAAATAACTATTAATTGCTTATTTATTCCGGGTTAGAAGGGCCAAATGTTTAAAGAATTTAGATAGATGGATAAACTTAGATTAAAATGTAGATGAAGATAGATAAATAGAGAAAAAAACTAGATGCTTCTTAGTGGACTGTATTTCTTCAACCGAACAAAAGTAAACAAGATATAACATAGTTAATATGAGACCAGCTGTTAGAAACAGTAAATTAGGAAAATAACTTTAAACAATGGCCCATATTCCTGATTAACATATAGACGAGTTCTTATCTCAAAAATCCTTTCGGGTTCCCACCCAGTGGCTCTGGAATTTCCCATGTAAACCTTACGAGTCCGAGGATAATAGAATTTTCTCGGATAATCCACAAAATGGTTAAACAAAGGTCGAAGGCACTAAAAAACAACATACGAGTGCTTTAAATAAGTTTATTATACAATAAAAGGACGTACCTGATAACAAAACTTAATAAATGTCATCAATGTCACTATCGTTTGCACTAACGAAACAAACAGTTTGATAATGCTGTAGTGGTAAGCGTATTTAGGGAAAGGGGGAGGGTGAGTCAACAGTGGCAGACAGGGCGAATGACCATGCACGTGCAGATTACTCACCGGTCACGTGATTCATTGCGTGCTAAGTAAACAAAGATCTGCAGTGCCGCTGGTTGCGCCCAAAACTGTTCAAGCACAGTCACAGACCACGTACAGTTGATACTGATATACTGTACAGTAATACTGAACTACTTACTCTACATATTTTGTACTGTACATTATTAATTGTACTGTACTGTATTTGTGATTTACGATTTTTATTGCGGTTTTGTATTTAGTAACTTTTTTTACCTTCATGCACCGCGGATAAACCGCCTACGGATAATTGAGAGTGTATTGTATTAACACCTCTGAAATACTTAATTTTAGTTTTTTTTTCACACAAAAACTAACAGTTAATTGTGAAACACACAATACTAAACCTAAACTTAAATAACAGTTCTTTAACTTTTAATAGTTGCCTTCTACTTGATGCCAATTACTTGAGTTTATTTTCAAAATGTCATTGATTTTCCTTGATACGCAGCCGAGTTTTTTTGTGCGTTGCACCAACAGTAGCTTTAAAAGACAACGTCTCTCCAGGGCCGGATTTCCCAACAGGCCCGGTAGGCCCGGGCCTATGGGCGCATGGTCCCAGAGGGCGCACGGCCGAGAGTATTTTTTTTATACCTAGGCTCTCTAAAATAAAAAGTCATAGTTGATAAAAAAAACTCAAAAGCATTGTGATCCTGAATTTCATAAGAAGAAATAATTGTTAGGAAATGTAATCTATTTTCAGAATCACGCATCAATTTCATTACAAAATTGGTAAAGATCAAAGAACATTGGTTATACGGGAGTAGGCTCTAACGTTGACGATGACGAGCGCCCAAGGGGTATGCATGCTGGCTCGGGCTCGGTACTACTGGTCAGATTGATTAGGGGCGCATGCGTGCTAGACATCACTCTCACCTCAAAAGTTAAGTCTTTTGATTAGTTTACAACAATCTGCAGGATCAAGTTAACATATATAATAAGTTGTGTTGAATATCAAAACAACGATGTCAACGATGTACTTACCTTTCAAATTAACAAACAAATATTAATCTCAGTTTGCATTAGATTTTAGACAAATTCAATACCCTCCAAAACATCAGTAATACTGTCATTTTCTCCTCAGACCTAAGTAAGGTTGGTACGGTTAGCCGGAATATTGCTCTGTTTTGCTTTGGAAACCACTCTGCATATTTAATCTAGATGCAGTACGACCATAGATTAAATATTACTCAAGTCGACTTCTTATGACATTGTTAATTCAAAATTTGTTCATATCTAGTTCATGTTGTTGACACTGGACGTTAGTTTTGACGTAATTTTGTTTCTATTATTTTAGGGTAAGTTCTATGATGTGTGTTTCAATTTCTAGTAAAATAATCAGGAGACGACCTATTTTTAATCATTAGATCGTTTTATTTTGGATAAACTAGGTTTAAACATAGATAAAACATACTCCTTAAACAAAATAACAAGAATTGTTTTCAGCCAATCCAAATCTACTAAAGGAGCAGGTTTAATCTATAGTATGACGCACTGTATGGAGTTCATGTTTTTTGGGCCTGGAATTGGAATCAATGGCCATGTTTTTTTTTTTTCAGGAATGCTCGGGTGGTTGAGTTTTTTGTTTCAGTCCCACCACGGCCACAAACGTGAGCATTTATTAAAAGCATAAAATTGCTAAATAACGTGTTTAAGACGGCATTTTGTTAAGGCTAAACAAGTCAATTCTTAAAAAAACCTTGCTCTGATTCCAAAGAGGAGTGTTATTCAAGCAGTTAACTTAGGCCTATGGGAATTATATAGTTTTTAATAAAGGTTTGAAGAAATGTGACCAGACTAGGGGGCGGAAAATTATTTGGGCCTAGGGGCGCAAAAATGCTAAATCCGGCCCTGCGTCTCTCTAGCACATCTGCTTATTTGCTTGTAATTTTTTTGTTTGATTTCTACTGGTGATGAGTTGACCAATCTCGTCATATGACCACACAAAAGGTCCAGTGCCTGACTGGCCACGAACCACGCCATTACAACCTATCCAAGTTGTGTACTTAGCATAGAGCTGATCTCCCACATAGTTTGAATGCTTCATAGAACTAACACCGTAAACAATATTTAATTTTTCTCAACAACGAAAAAAACATTAATTCAATATTTACTACAAAACATAGGATCATAAGGTTGTTAATCTTTCAGAGGGCGCATTGGTTTTCAAAACGGGAGAGGGTGCACCAGGAGGTTACTTCCAGGTCAATAAAATCAAACATTTATGAAGTAAAATTTGTATTATAGTGCACAAATTAAGTTTTATTTTGAATTTTAAACATAAAAAATGTGTTTAGTGAACTGTTAATTATAAAATAACTTAATTAGATTTTAGCGAATTTCCCATATAGGGAATAAGCTATTACCGTAGGTCTCATGGTAAGACCTAGACCCGGGACCAAATTACTTTTTCGTTTTGAGGTCCCCTGAGGCCAAAAACACCATCCGTTCAAATTCATATATATATATATATATGTATATATATATATATATTTATATTTATATATGTGTCCGTTAGCGCGATAACTCGAGCAAAATTGATCCGATTTTGATTAAATTTGGTACAAACGTGTAAACCTACATTTATTCGAACGAGTTCGCGAACCAGCATAATCGGACCATGGGATCAGGGGTTTATGGGGGGTTTTATGGGTAAAAATATGGGTTTTTCTCATTTTTGACCCTAAAAACATTAAATTTCTAAATTTCTCTCTAGACCATTTTGAAGAGCTTAAAAAAACAAATAATTTAGTGTATTGAAGTGTTTTTGAATGTTCATTGACTACGGAGAAAATTTAAAAAATTGTAAATTTAAAATTCCCATGTTATTCTTATGGAGAATAAATAAACTGTTCTAGTTTGCTTGTTTATGGATATATTTTAATCAAATTTGGCAATTTGGTTTATTTCATACTAAGCTATCAATATTTCAGTTAAAAAAACACACCTCAACATCTTCCCCGTAGCAGCAAACCTAACTACTCACTAAAATTAATGTTATTTAAATAGGAAATAAATCTGAACATTTATAGGGAATATTTTAGTAGAAATCAAGCCGGGTAAATGGAAATTTGCTTAGTATGCAGGTTTGCTGCGACGGGGGTATTATAAATATAAAATTAAACTATTATTCTATAAAATGTTCTAACATAAAATTACATGAAGAAATCTTATACAAGAATATATTCAAGAAGTTAATTTAAATTTTACCACAATGTCCTATGATATGGTTCTAGATTATTTTATGTAATTCCCCTGATGTTTTATGTAATTCAACATAATGGGTATCTTAATACTAAATGACTCTGTACATACGTCGTTCGTGAATCTCCCTTTCAGCACTGGCTAAGAGTATTACAATTGAAAATTTAACTTCTTCACTCATTTTGAAAAAACTATACATTTACTAAATAATGACATGAATCGTAAAAAATAATTATTTACATGCAATAATCAACGCACACACTAAACTAGAGGTCGCACACGGAAGTTGCCTCCAGGCTGGACAAAAATCGGCAGAGCGCACACGGAGCTACTTCCAGCCTCTTACAAAACTGAACAAAACTAAAAAATATAAAATAGTAGGGGTGAGTTTTGACCTTCATTCGATTCTAGGAATGAGGTGCGTGAGGTACAGGGACACTCACACTGCCAACACCACTCAAAATAATATAATCGCGAAAAATAAAACATCCCTGGAGGTTACTTCCGTGATGCGACTTCTGGAAGGTTAATCTTATTAGTTTCTTTAAGATTCTTGTAAGTAATTT